ATGTAAAAAAGATGTTGAGACTCTAGAAAGAGTACAGAGAAGAGCAACAAAGATAATTAGGGGACTGGAGGCTAAAGCATATAAGGAACGGCTGCTGGAATTGGGTATGTCTAGTTTAATGAAGAGAAGGACGAGGGGGGGACATGATAGCAGTGTTCCAGTATCTCAGGGGCTGCCACAAAGAAGAGGGAGTGAAGCTATTTTCCAAGGCGCCTGAAGGCAGGACAAGAAGCAATGGATGGAAACTAATCAAGGAGAGAAGCAACCTAGAACTAAGGAACAATTAATCAGTGGAACAACCTGCTCCAACACTGGAAGTTTTTAAGAAGAGACTGGACGGCCATTTGTCTGAAATGGTATAAGGTTTCCTCCAAGGTCCCTTCCAACATTACTACTACTACTACTACTACTACTACTACTACTACTACTACTACTACTACTATTATTATTATTATTATTATTATTATTATTATTATTATTATTATTATTATTATTATTATTATTATTATGAGTTGTACGGTCATATATATTTTCTTAATGAGTAAATAAATAAATACATGAATTTATAATTTAAGTAATAGGTTCAAAACAAAATACAGCCATAAAATACAACCCCAACAAACCTGAAGGGCTTGCCAAAAAGCTCATTTTTCTTGATGTTAAAAGAACCCAATTGGGGCCAACTTAATCTCAGATGGAATGGTGTTCCATAGAAAGGGGACAATGATTCAGAAAGGGCAACTCTGTGGTTCCTACAAGTGATACTTCCTATGAATAGAGATCTAGAGCACAGTTCCCCAACCTTTCCAGCTTTGCAGACCAGCGGGAGGGAGGGATGGTTCCACACATATGGTGGGTAAGCACATGCGCCCACAGCTCCATTTGCATGAGCGGCTGGCACCTGTGCCTGTTGCTTGTGCAAATGAAGCACAAGCACTTACCCACTGCTCACACATGTGCTCACCTGCCACTTCTGGGCCCGGTTGGGAACAGCTCAAGGCCCGGGGGTTGGGGACTCCTGATCTAGAGGAAGCTTTCCCTTATAGATCTTATTATACAGGCATCAGCTACCAAAATTGTTTTGAACCTCTGGATATCTAGGACTGGGTCACATATGCTTTTAAAGGAGAAGAATAGAATAAATTGTAGCTGGAAGCCAATTGGTAACCTTGAAGTACTTGTGATATGTGGGCAAATTAACTGGTTTCCATGAGCCTCTGCTTTCTGGACCAGCTTCTAGCTCTTCAAATAGTCTATTGCAATAATCAGAATGAGAGAAGATCAAAGCATGAGTAATAGTTAGTAGCACTTCCTGAACCAGGAAAGGTCACAAGTAGTGCACAAGATGGGGTGATAGAAAGGTCTTCCTACAGCCCCTGTTGCCACCTAATTCTTCTCCTGGGCTTGTGAGTCCAGGAAAATCCCCCTATTACAAGCCAGTTTTGCACAGGAAATGCAATCCTTTCAAAAATGGAATATGCTGACATCAGAAGGCTTTGAAAAGCCACTGTCTCTGGACGCAATCGAGCTTCAATTCCTCCCCATTCAGATGCTAACTGATTCCAAGCACAGGACCGACCTTCAGCCACATTTTCTGATTTCTGGCACTACATTAGCAGCTGCTCAATTATTACATGATTCTGAACATATGCTCTTGTTCTATACATTTGAGACATTTTACTAGAGCATAACAATTCTATTTGTTTAATTTTTCAAATTGGAGATAGCCTACCTTTTGAACTAGCAAATACAGCCAAAATGTGACAGAGATTTTAACAAAGGTGCTAATAAAAGCAAATGTTATTCTTCAGTTCAATTGCAGTTAGTATAAAATGCCAGAAAATGAACAAATGAGATTTAGGGCTGAACATAAAATCTGATGTGTATGAAGCCCCTTGCCGAATTCTTGATATGCTTGTTGAAGTTATGAAGCAGCTGCTCAATGGTTTCTTGGCCAACTATCCTGAAGAAAGGGTCTTCTTCAAAGCAGCCCCTCCAAGTCCTTCAGCAGCTGTAGCCCTTCAAGACTTTGAGGAACAAATCCAGAGAAATACAAACTTTTATCCAAAATTATGTGGGCGGGATGGGGATGGGAAGTGACATATTCCTTTCAATAAAATGCTGTTAAAATTATAAATAAAAAGCAGATTTTTTTTAAAAAAATGGACTGCATTAATATTTTTATGCATGCATAAAAATCTATAACATCTTATAATGTAATTACCTAAAACAATAAGCAGCATCTAAAGCACGCTTCTTCCGCCGACTGGATTGTTGCGACTCAAGTCTGTAGGAGGGTAATAACATTAGCAGAAGATGTGGGCTCTTCCCACTGTATTTTTTCCTACTCGACTTTAAAGCTTTCTCACCACTGGAATAAGGGTGGTCATCAATACCTTTAAAAAATACATTTTGGTAATAAATATTGTGTTGATTTTTTTGGAACAAATTATATAAAGTATCTCTTCACAAGAAACTCAAATCATAGAATAATCAGGTGTGCTGGCATCAGCTGGGCTGATTTAAGACATGCTGATACATGAATGTGGGAATCAGGGACCTACATTGAATGAAATACCCTATATTCTTATTATCTCTGCATCATTTCAGATCAGGAACACTTGCTTCATTCATATCAATTATTAGTCATATGATGGGTTATAGTTTTCCTTATCCCACAATTATTATAATTATCCATATAATATTTATTTAATCCCAAGCAAATATTAATTCATTTCAATGTAGGGCCATAGACAATAGTGTGTCACTTTAGATCCAGGGGAGATGGAGATCTAAAAGAAGCAGCTAGAGAATCAGTCTCAGGGAAGCAGGGACTATAACACAAGTAGTTAACACAGATAACATGTGAATCTAGTTACCTGCATTATGATATAGACGCCATTAGTATGCTTGAATGTACCTTTCACATACATGTAAGGTCACTAGTTAGATAATGGACAGTATTTAAATTAGTCATTTACATTCTGATTCTCTGAGCATGAGTGCTGATGTCTATTGGCACTAAAAGAGTTATGGCTGGATGCTCAAAATTGAGGATCCCTAAGCAAGTTGCAAGACAAATACACAAAGATCACAAAGGCAGAAAGATTTGCATGAGTACTAATGAAGTTAGAAAGACAATTATACTAAGAAATATCTCATTAAACATGTTCTAATTCATTATCATACTAACTACTTTGAACAAAGGTATGTTCAGCAATTTTTATAGAATGCTACACCAGATTTCTAAAGCAATTGTTTAAGTAGATCTTCTCCCATACCATCTGACACTCCATATTTTCCTTCATTAGTTGAGTTTAGCAGTACTGGACATATTATAAGATCTAATGAAACATTTCACATTTATTACACAATTACTTTATTTTTAAATGTTTAGTCATTACCTGCAAATCTTGCCTCTAATTCTTCACTTTTGTTTGGGATAATATAATTATTTGAAGGCACAAATGTACAGCACGGACAATGTAAACTGATCTTAAGTCCCAAATTCCTGTCTGCAAAATATAAGAGAAAGAAAATTTACCTTATATCAGGTCAGGCAAGACTTCAAACTGTTCAAATTTAATACAGGTTAACTCTAAAATAATTAATTACTATCACCTTTGTGATGGAGCCATTCATGTACAGCCTCAGTTACATCAAATGATAACCATTCACCCTCAGCTCTTGTTTTCACGACCTTGCTATCAATATAGCGTTGTGTAGGTGATGTGGGATCTTTGTTTTTGATCATCTGCAAAACAAGAACATCTATATTCTGTGACATGGAGTTCTCACAATTTAATTTGAAAAAACAGCTAAGGGGGACTCAAAACAGAATATAGAAAATCACTATAAACCTCAAGAGGTTGTGCCATCTATCTAACTATCTATCTATCAATGTCATGAAAACAAATTCCGACATAATGCTTTGACCAACTGTGACACAACAGAATTACAAGAAAAAAAAAGTCTTGAAATAATTTGTAGAGATATGCAGCTCAACTGCACAAGTGAGATTCTTTTCTTCAAACGGAGTTTTTGTACACAAACTTCTACTGCTTTACCATAACTTGAAATACATTTAAGCAAATTTCCTGATGTCATTCTTTTTTATTTAATTGACTATGATTCAGTTCCTTTTCTTTATATTAAAGTAACCCTAACAATGTTTTAAACGAAGGCAAGGTAGATAGAAATCGATTTCAAGACTTTTATTCCCAAGTGCACCTTTTGTAACAAATTCAATGTTTTTGTAGTGTTTCTTTATCAGAAAAAAATGGATAAATCTGGTCCTCAGATATATTTTTTTTTTACATTCCTAGAATTTTGCATTTTTGAAACATGGATCACTGTCATGCAAGACAATTTCTAGTATTCATGACTGCACTAAGAAGACAGCACTTCTTAATGCCTGAAATATGGAGATCAAGACCAAAAATGGCTTTCAAGATGATAATATGATACTTAGATTGAAACTTACAAATGAATGTGATAGTTCAGTTGCAGCTTTTAATATATTACTACTTATTCTCTTGGCAGTAAAAATATAATAAACAAAATATGTAAGATGCATCTGTGAAAGTTTGGTAAGAAGTGTTAACTGCATGATATTGTGAAACCCAGTATTACAGATCCTTAAAGATTTTGGTTTAGACTTCAGTGACCTCCAAGGTCCCTTCCAACTTTACTATTACTATTATTATTATTATTATTATTGTTGTTGTTGTTGTTGTATATTTATAGCATTCTGGGATTTGTCCAAATGAATATTTCCAGCTCGAGTTTAATATAGATTACATATCCTATACCTACTTTAAAATCCTCTGGGACTAAGATCTTTCCTCTTTTAGAAAATACAATTAGTTACTAGGAGTCATAAATGAGTTGATGGTACATAATCAATTGGAAATCCAATACTGATGGGACAGGACAAACATCCCATTCCAGATATTGCCAGAATGGATTAAAGCAAACATATTCCTACTGTAGCTGCACTAAGCTAGTTTTCCCTGCAGCAAGTGTAATCCAGACAACACATATAAATTGCAACTGAGATACTAACAATACCAAGAACTCAGTTCACCTATCAAGCATAAGACTTTAATTTTTCATGGAACTTCTTTCACAATAAACATCCAAGTATTTTGTTTTCATCAAAGTATAATTATGGCTTCCTACATTTAGGCTGTTTCTAGGCATATACTTTGCCCAAATCCTTTTTGTGTATCTTGGCTGGATG